AACTCACCCTCCTCCTCGCAGAAGCTGCAGCTTCACAGCTCACCAGCAACTCGGTGCTAGAACACCACTGCAAGAGTTACCAGCTGCATCTCCAGGCCTCTGAGAGACACCCAGTACCATCTCAGCTCCAAGCTCAGCTGGTCTCAGTTCCGAGCAAGGCTGGACTCCAGCAGCCAACTGTGCCAAGCTCAGTGTGGGCAACTGGCGTTTAAAAGAGAAGAGCTGTGTACCCAGCTCTCTCGCAAAAGGATTCATTCCAAGGAATGCCAGAGGAGAAAGTGGGCCAGGGAGAGACAATTCAGTCCAGGCAAAAAGAGGAGAAGCAAGAGACACAGATAGCCACCAGGAGCAGGCATTGAACAGCTCTGGTGGAAGGTCACCGACGCAATCAAAAGCTCCAGCCCGAGGGACCGACATCATCCAATCCCATTTCCCCTTCACACCAGCATGGAAGTAATTTCAGCCCCCATCTAGAACATGCTGATGTATGTGGGCTCTAAAGCTTTCAGAGACAGAAGAAAATTTACCAGAGCCACAGGGTTGCCTCCTCCAGCTGGTTCTCTAGCTGTTGGAGTCATAATTTAAGCTCAGTGCTGGAAGGATCTTGCAGCAGTGCCTGGTAGAAGCAGCAGCTCTGGAGGGTTCACACAGCCCCAAAGGGGGAAACGGGGGCAAAACAAAGCCAAACAAACACGAGTGCACTTGTGAAACCACGTACATGGTTGAAAGTTCCAATTCATGGACTCAGCACAGAGGAACAAAAGCCACCAAAGGAGAGAGGGGCTATTTCATCACTGCCTCCAGAAGCTCCATTTCACCAGTCCCTCTCCTTGCGACTGCATTCTTCCCCTAACCTCTCCATGTTGTGCCTGTGCAGATAGTCACCATACAAAGAGACAAACGGTGTCTTTATGGGATGGGTTTAATGCAGGCAAGCAGAGTACACACAGACACACACACACTCACCACGAAAGCAGGACTCCTGCGCAAAGCTGACATTGCAGATGCCATAATCTCTGCCTGGAGTGGACACTAAGATGGTAGCAACTGGTACAAGAGAACAGGCTGTGAAGGATTCTGTGGTACAGCCAAGGCTCCCCAAAAACCAGAACTGGAGGTAACAGAAGCATCTGCACCACAACCACCCACCAGAGTTAATGAGCGACATGAAAGTTTGGCTTTTAGAGTGTCAACTTGCAATGCTGTTCACCCTCCTCCCCCAGGAACACCGGCACCCCAGGACAGGGGAATTCGCTTTTAAGGCACACGGGGAGACACTTTGGAGCTGCATCAGAAGCACAGTCAAACTAGAAGTCCATCAAAGAGACAGCACAAAGGTTGCAGACTGACTGCAGTGGGCTGCCAAAAATCTATATCTATGTGGTCAGATATGAGAAGAGCAGAGCTGTGCTTTAGATACCTGCGCTGGACGTAGGTGACACGAGACCCATGGGAAGCAAAGACCTCTTCAACTTCCTTTGTACATGCCAAGGAATGTCAGATCTCATCCTGGCAGCCAATCCTTCGCACCAAAGTGAAGCAAGGCACAAGAGCATGCAGGGGACGTGTTCACACATTCCCTCTTCCTGGCCTGGCCCTCTGCCGAGTGTGCAGGAAGCATGCCCACAGTGGTACGAAGCCTACCAGAGCCTCTGACATCAGCCAGGGGCTGTGGGAGCACAGCTGCTGGCTCACTCCATGTCCTACTACCCATAAGGGGTAGAAAGGGCAGTACAGTGCATAGTCCTCCACTGCCTACCAAGATGACTTTAGCCCTATGACTTTTTTTGCCAAATCTTTGCTCCTGGAACAGGCTGAAGAAGTGGCGAGTTGCTCTCTGCCTTGCTTCTCAAGAGAACTTTTGGAGGATGCTTGGCAGGGGGTGTCTGTGTGGCCAACCAGGGCCTCTGCCTTGCTGCTTTGAACACGCTGTCCTACCTGGCACATCCTGATGTCTTGCTGCAGTGGAGTGAGATGCAACCTTGCCTCCTTTGCCTTTTTTTCCTAAGAGCTGCGGAATTTTCCTGGGAAAAGTGGCATTAAGAGCATCATATTTGCAAAGAAAGTCACCTGATCCAGGAAACGGTAACTTTACAGTCATCTGCATCATCTTAATTCCACTCATCACGTTATGACCACAAGTAGCAGCATCAGCACACACCACTTCCCTGCAGGATTACACCTGGTCCTGCACTTGGGGTAGCAGAACACAAAGGCAGTGCTGGGTACTGGCCTTGGAAACCAGGGCACCTTGCTTTATACAAGCCCCAAAGGCCTGGGGCACCGTGATACCAATCAGAGCCTTTAGCTCCTTGGCCTTGTCCAATGCTAAAGTCTTCATGGGGCACTTAAACAATGAAGGCAAGAGGCTGCCAGAAGAGGAACAGCAGTTATCTTGTTCATACAGCACTAGACCAGGACCTATGCTCTAGTCTGGGCTTCGTTGAGGCTCAGGGACTTGCTCAAAGTCACACAGGAAATCTCTGTGGCTCAGCTCTGCATCAGAAAAAGGGTGATAAAATTTCCTGACCTCTCTGGAGGAGGGTACAAGACGTACAGGTAGCACAACACCAAAGACAGGGAGAAAAAAAAGGCAGGGGAAGTATTTACTACACACTAACTTCAGCTCAGTAAGGAAAAGCTGCTTCAAAAGGCCAAGGCTGGGAAGAGACACCTCCCAAGAGGCACAGATATTAAAACAGTGACTCTTGCTAAAAATTGCTCTAGCATGGAAGAAAAATTGCCCTCTCAAAAAAAAATTAAAAAGAAAGGAGCAACTGTGCTAAACAGCCATGTCAACCCCCCAGCAAGTCTTCCTCTTTGAGTCACACAAAAACCTGAAGCCTTTTGGTTGCATTTGGTTGAACCAGGAAGACCAGAGAGCCCCAGACTCATTGCTAAGGCTCCACTGCAATTACATTTGCAATTAAGTTTGAGTTGAGCTACAGGAAACCAGTGGCACTTGCCACAGATCAGAGCGATGTTATTGCCACACTTCACAGGTTTTCATAACATACACAACACAGTGCTCTGAAACTCACTTTTCACTGACCCACTTTACGCTGAGAAGAAAGTTCATCTTTATTTCTCTGGACTTTCTGCTTTCCCTTGCTTGTTAATGCCCTCTGCATGTTAATGCAAGCTGGGGAGCCAGGGGAACCGGTGGCAACACCATCCGCTCCAAATCTGGGACAACCCAGTCCCCTGCTCGTGGGGCATTAAGGCAACCCCGCCAGGCCCCAAGGAGAGGGAGCACCCAGCCGCCCTCAGATGGCTCCTGCCAGCTGACTCACAGTCCAACGCCAACAGGCTCCTCCGACGTGACGGAGCTCGGCTGCCGCGGGGAGAGCGGCATCGCTCCAGGGAAGAGTCTTTGGGCTGGGAAGAGGCAGGGAGGAAGACTTCTGACGACCTTCCCTCCAGTCTCCTCTAAGCCTCGTGGTGCCTTTCTGTGTGGGACGAGGCCTAGGATCTCAACACGCCACATCAGCCTGAAGAAACCACCAGGGGCTCCAGGGCCGCATGCAGAAGTGCAGTTTCCCCACCCTAGCCACATGGCATCTTGACATAAAATCCAGCTCTGCACTGGCTACCTTTGACTACGCTCTCGTAGCACAAATTCTCGCCTACCCCTACTTAAAAAAAACAAACAAACCCAAAGCCACGCAAAGCATCCAACGAAGGGGAGAGACATAAACAGCACGTCAGAGGAACTTGGCTCAGAGAGGACACGTGAGCCTGACCCTGAGGTCAGGCTCGGCCACAGGGGCTCTCCTGAAGGGCTCACCTGGCCACCACCCTGGCTACGGCCCAAGCAGGGTGTGAGCACCTCCTCCAGATCACGCCTCGCCTAGGAGCACTGGCTGGACAAACTGCCTGTTCTCTGGGAAGCTGAGGAGGATCCCAAGGAAACAAGACCAGCGAGCAAGTGGGAATACCAGCAGACAGCTAGCCACTGTATTGGAGAAGATCTAGCAAATGCCCTCAGGCTACAGCCCTGCAGAGACCCAAGTCCTAGCAGCTGCTAGTCTTGGTGACTGCAAGGACAGGTTAAGCTCATGCCCCTCTTCATGCTGCGGGATCAGCATGTGCCCAAATTCTTAGGACACCCATGGTCAGGCACCGGCTCCCACATGCTCCTGAGGGAACAAGTGACAAGAATTGCTGGTCCAACAAGTGACAGCCACAAGTGTCAGCCATGCCAAAACCAAAAGCACATCAATGCTACCCTTTAATTTTTCTTTTTTTAACACCCCCTGTCTACCCTCAGATAATCAGCACAGGTTGCTGCTAGGACAGTTACCCCAGCTCCCTGTGAGCCTGCTGCTTCAGCGCCAATTCAGCCATCCCAAAAGACAACCTGTTACACGAAGGTCCCCGCAGCCCAACCCTGCTAGGCTAACGCACCAAAATACAGGTCACCGATTCTGCCAAACTTCAGATGGCCTCTTTCAGTCTCCTCAAGCTTCCACATTGTTTTTAGCCTGCGTGTGAAGTTCTTTTCCACGTCAGATCCTCTAAAGGACTAAGTATAAATTTTTTGCCTGCTTTTTTGACTGCCGAGCATCCCACAGCTTGGCTCCAAGAAGGCCACTTTCCAGCTAGACATTAACAGAAGGATTCCTCCCTCCAGGCCTCGCATTCCTGTTGACATGGCAGTCCCTGGGCTGACTGAGACAGGCATTGCCAGATACGATTTACCAAACGCCGACAGCACATGCAATGCTGTTCAAACATCAGGACCTGAAGCTCCCCTCCTCCAGAGGAGCTCTCAGCTCAGAGCTACACTTGACAGGAGAGATGGAGACATCAAAACATCCCTATGGCACAGAGGGCACCAAATCTATTTCCAACCCCACAGTCTCAATGTCCTTAAGGAGAAAACAAGAGTTTTGGGGTGAAGGAGGAAATCCAACAGTCCTTTGACTCTGTCAACCTAGCTCCTCTCCCACTCGTTTCCAGCCACCGCATGCCCCTACAGCCATCAACGGGACACTCACCTTGAGGATCTTCACGACGACCCTCTCGTTGTTGGTGATGTTGATGGCCTCGAAGACCTCGCTGTACTTCCCCCGCCCGAGCTTCCGAACTAGCTGGTAGTCGTCCTGATTGCTGCAGGGACCGAGAGGAGAGGGGAGGGAGGGGGAAAGGATAGCT